CTTCTTCTTCTTGCTCATAAAGCCATTTCTATGTGTAGATTTGATGATGTATTTATGATTTTTTTCCTATTATTTCATAGTTATTATTATACATATATCATGGGCGTACATTCTATAATCGGCGCTTATGCTACATCTCAACTGCTTCAACTTCTTCTACGGTTTCATTCATTTTACAGACTGCAATTATTTATTTATTGTATGCTTGTAAGTAAGAACGAAAAATTGTTGCTATTTATTTATAAATTATTTGTACTCTTGGTTTGTAAATTGGGCTATTGTTGTTGTTCTTTAAGTTCTGTTTGCTTGCTTGTTTTATTTCTTTGTTGCTTTTTATATATGTATATAATTGTTTGATTTGTTTTTGTTGTTGCTGTAGCTATTTAATAATTATTTATTTAGTTACATTATTTACTTTGTATTTGTTGTTTTGTCATTTAGTTAGTTGTTTGATTGCTGCATAACGAATTGTTTAAAATAGTTGCGTAAGTTTGTGTCAACTTTTATATTCATTTTCAACTTTTTCTTTTGCTATTTTAAACAATTCTTTGGCTTATGCTTTCCTGTCTTCTTATTGTTCTTTCGCATTTGCGTGCAGTTTTCGCTGTGTTGAAAGCAGTGTTCGACATGTATGTAAGTAAGGTGAACATTAGAATTTTTTGAAATATTTATACGAAACTTTCACTTGAAGCTTTCTCAGCGCTTTTCTGCTTTAGCATATTGAAAGTGCAGCAGTGTTTTTTTTTACTAAAAGCTTTCCTTCACTCGCCCCATGAAAGTTCAGTAGTAGTTTTCTTTGGCTTAATCTGCTGCTTTCGTAAAAGTTCCGCATAAAAAGCGTCGATTTCGTAGCTCTGCATACCACTGTCAAACAAAGCTTTCAAAAGCTTTATTGCATATATGCTTTGTTATCATTTGTGTTGCTACAATTGTTGGTTTATTGCGTTTGAAATGAAAATGTAAGTGGCCAAAATTTAATATAGTGCTATTACATTTTAGTTTTTGTTTTTTGTGAGATTTCGAATTTTGCTGTTGATTTTAGTTGTCTTTGAAGAAGCCGCCATAATGTATATTCAAACCTTTCTTATTATTATGCATTCGTTTTTTGTTTTCATTATCATTCATCATTTTACGCATTTTAGCTATTCATTTTCATATTTACTACCGAGTGAAAACGCCAATAAATGGTGCTCTCGTTTAATTTCTTTGAATTTTTAATGTAAAATCTGGTATTAGCGCTTTCTTCGTAGTGTACCTAATTTTACTGCGTACAATTTGTGTTTTTCGCACTAAGCGCTTTAGTCAAGGCTGTGTAATATTTGTAAAGTCTGTTAACGTTTTCGTAGTTCGCTTGTCACACGAAAGCTATTTTTGCTTTAAATATAGCGACTTATTTTCATAACGTAAGCTGTGTTAATAATGGTATTTGTAGTGGTGTTGTTTAATACCGTAAGTACAAGTTGTGTAGTAACCCAAAAGCTTATAAGGTCCTTTGCTCATACAGGCAAGTACTTTGCGCATGCCTCTAAGCTTTCATTGATAACTTTTAAGTATTATTGCTTGTATATTGTTCTGGTGATAGTTCGTAGCTTTTGATGTGTCTACATATTGTTTTGTCAAACTGTTTTAGCATTTGTTTTAAATTTCGACGAAATTTTATTTAATTTTTAATTTAATTTCAAATTTTTTTTTTTTTTTTAATTTTTAGTTTTTGTCTTGTGTATTCCTTTGCTTAGTTTTATAAACCATTAATTTTTGTCATGTCTGTGGAAAATTATTTAAATTTTTGGAGCTTTCGTATAACTGTAACTGTTGCCTTTTTTTATACATATACACTTGCTTAGTTTTTAATAAATTTGAAAATTGCTGAGTACCGTTGTTTCCTACAATTTCTACTTACAAAATCGTATATTTTTCATATGTACTTTTTGTTTTAATGCAGCAAACATATTACAGTTATAAAATTTGCTTATGTGTTTTACTTTTCGTGTACACTGTAAATATACAGTGGCCTGGTTGTGCATTTGGCTTGATAACTACTAATATGTACAGTCAAGTTTCGGTAGTGAAATGTGTTTTTCTAGTCAGGTTGGTGATATTTTGTCGGAGAATGTGTTTAAAACATTAAACATTTATTTATGAAAATAAAAATGTTGAAATTAAGTTTGGTTAAAAAAATAGATTTTCAATAGTTAAAGAAAAATGTACAGAAATCTTTAGAATTTGTTACTGTTTCGGAGCATTTGTTTAAAATTTTGCATGTTATTGCCTACTGTAGTTTTCTAACACACCAAATTTCCTTCTTCTTGTTTACTATAATAATGCTTATATGCGATATTTTTGCTGTGCTACAAAAATTTTGATTAATTTTAATTTTGTTTTAGCGCCTAAATTTAATTGATAGTTTCGCTTGCTACTCTCCACCTAATTTCGTTAATTTTGATACCATAATTTTGTGTTTTTGTTCGTGTAACTTGTTTCGTACTTTTTTATCATTTTGTTACCATTTTTTTCTAAAGACATTTACAAAAGTTTTATAGATTAATTTTACAGCTTGTGTTGGTGCTTCAATCAACCATTTTTGCTTGATTTTTTTTTTTTTTGAATTTTTTGATGTTTAATTTTTGCTTGTTTGTTGTTTACTTAAATTTCTTTTTCATTATCACAGTGACATTCAGTCTAAGTTGTGCTTTCATTGGAATTATAGCATGAAGTGCTATACCCTTACACCGCCGCTCTGCTCGCTGCGCTCTCCATTTATTTCACTCACTTTCTATAACTTTTTTTTTTTTTTTAAATCAACAATTTCAAACAATTTATTTATAAATTTAAAGCCAAAAGTTTTCATGAATTAACATTTTATTTTAATTAGTTAGTAGCTAAGTAGTTAGTAAGCCGAAATGGTGATTTTACGAATTTTTAATTTACATTATTTCTAAGCATATTTTTTGAACAAAATTTCACTAACACCAACAACTTCAATTAAGGCCTAAAATATTTTGCTTTTTCCAAACTATTTTTCTTTTACAATTTTTTACACTACTTTTTCCCGTCGCTACAATTTTTTACCTCCGTTTCATATAGCAAATCATGCTTTTACTGAATAATTCCAATGAAAGCATTGTTTTTGGTTTTTAGGTTTTTTGTTTACAATTTTTTTTTTTCAACACTAAACGCCAAATAGTAGATTTTTATTTTATTTATTTATTTGTCGCCAAGAGAATTTCTAAGCCGAAAGTTATGCTTTTTAATTTAGATTTCTTAATTTTTTGTTTTAATTTTGCGCCTAAAAATAATCAAAATTTTGTCTAAGTTTATCTCGTCACCTTTTCGTTATAAAACCTTAAAATCCAAAACAATTTACACTTTTCATTTCCTGCTAATTTATACTGTCTCATCGCTTAACCCTCACTTTAGCTTTAACTATAAAACTTTTGCACATAATTTTCCCATTTCGAAATTCATTCAAATATCTAATTTCAATACGTTCCCAAATTACTATATCTTATAAGTATACGCACTTAATTTTTATATTTATTTACAATTTAGTAGTTTTGCCAAAAGTTTCATAATATCATGCCGAGCCAAAATATTTGTTGTTCTTCGCAAGCTATATCCCACTGTCACCATCCCAACATATCTTTATATATGTATGTATACGGGAGCTATACGCTATCAATCGTTGCCTAATTCAAAGAGTCGCTAATTTTTACCGAAAATTCATTTATAATGATTCTTAATTGTTTAACCTAAGTATATAGCCGAAAGTTTGTGCTCCTTTGAAAAAATTAAATTACAGAAAAAGAGAAATCGGGCAAGAAATATGAAAAATTAAGGGTATGCAAATCTATATTTCTCAATAACAAGGCAAAGAAAAATTTGTTTACTCAAAATATATTAAGCACCACAACTAAAACGTTAGCTTTCACATAAATGAAAGTTTTGTGCTGTGAAGCTTTTGAAAAAAAAACTTTTTTTTAAGGCAAAACTTTGCACTACTGTCAATTCTTTAAATAAATTATTTGGAATTGAGTTTAGTGTGCTTGTATAGTAAGTAAAATTTTTCATATTTAATAAAAGTCTAATAACGTATAATGGAACCCTTTAAATGAAAATCGCTATTTATGAAAAAGTGTGAAATTGTAATAATTAATATTGCCAAGCTTTTTCGAAAATCAAAAAAAAATTTTTTCAAAGCTTTTACAAGAATTGTTTTAAAAGCACGTTTGCAAAGTTTTTACAGCGAGCTTTTTAGAAAGTTGTTTTTTCACAGACGTTAACATGAAGTCAAGCCCTAAAAATCAAAAAACAAATTCCACAGTTTTTATAACAAGTGTTTTAAAAATACTTTTGAAAAGCTTTCACAGTGAGCTTTTAAAAATATGTGCTGTTACAAAGGCTAAAATGAAAGATGCCAATTAAATGAGAATTTAGACGAAGTGCTAGAAAAATCTTGTTGAGAATATCTTAAACGCTTAAATATAACGCTTGAGAGCATAGTTTACAACTGCTACAATTTTTAGGAAGCTCACATACTAAATACAATTTTAAATAAATGTAAACAAAGTTTGAAGTAGATATGAAAAATTACTTAATAATAAGCTTTTTAGAATTTCTAAAATATTTTCCAAAGCTCTTATAAAAATCTTTTATTTAAAAAATTGCAAAGCTTGTAGAGCACCATTTTTAGTAATGGGTGGCTTTTACAAAAGCCAACATGAAATCAAGCGTTGAAAGTAACACTTTAAAAATTACTATATGAAAGCTCTGAAAAAGCTTCAAAGTTCCCGAAAAAGCTTGTTGATACTAGTTTTAATACAAACGGTCACATATGCAACGCTCGGGGTTTTAATTTACAGCTGCTACAATTTTTAAAAAGCTTACAAAAAATATTGTGTGGAATTATAAAAAAGATTTAAAAAAAGTCAGTATTAAAATCTAATGAAAGTAAAAAGTAGGACTACAAACCAAACATTTCGAAAATAACAAAAACAAATATGTCAAAAAATGTATATATATATATAATTTTATTTAAAAGTATAATATTTTCTTCTTCATCAGCGAACATGTGTAATATATGCCAGTTGATGTTGTTTAAAACTTAACTAATTAGAAAAAACAAGAGAAATTAAAAGTTCTTCTTACACACACGTGACACGGCAGATATGCGTGTACAGAAGTACGCGCATACATATGTATAGGTAGTTATATATGTAATTAATTTTTTTTTATATATGTATGTATATATAATTTATATGTACGTTTGATAAGTTCTTTGTGTGTATATATATGTGTGTTTGTGTGTGTGCTATTGTTACTGCGCGCATACTTTTACACTGCTTTTTAAATTAAAAATAGTTTTGCAAGAAAATATTTTTTTTTTGCTTTTGCATTAGGAAACAAGCTACTGCTTTTTTTTTGTAATAATTTAACAATTATAAATGCTTTCACAATACAAAATAAAATAAAAAATATATATATTTATAATAATAATTAAACAAACGCGAAATTATTTTAATTAATTAATTCTCTTTACTTTTTAATACATAAAATAAGGCATACACAACTAACCACACGTGCAGGAATTTTAATTTTTTTTTACAAAAAATTTTTTGAGTTTCAAAAATCACGCAATTGCTGGTAGAAAAACGCGCACATTAGTGCATATTGTTAATGCGCTGCTAAGGCATGCTTATGTAACGCTTGTGTATTGTTGAAATTTTTTTAAAATTAAAAACGATAAATTTTTTGATAAAATATTAAAAAAAATTTTTTTTTAAATACACAAGAAAAACTTTTTTTTTAACTTTTAATAAAATTTCAACAGTATTTTTAAATTTTAATATTTTTAAAATATTTAAAAAACTATTTTATGATTTATGTATTTTTTTTTGTGTTTTCAAACAACTCGTGTCACGTGACATTACCAGGTAATGTCCTACATCATCACTTCAACGCTTTGCATTGTCTACATATCTGTATGTATGTTTGTTTGCTGCTTTTATGGCACCTAACGAGTCGTGTTTGTATATGTGTTAGTATTTTGATTTGGTTCTTTGTTTATTGTTTTTTCCATATTACACAAACATGCCCCGCATTTCTTAACTCATTTATTTATGCGTTTTGCTTTATATATTTAAAAAAAATTACAACTTGCTGTTGGTGTGGTTTCGCGCTTAAAGGAGTATACAAGTAAACACAGCATTAAATTACAAAACTTATATATCAAGGAAAAAATATTAAATAATTTACAAGTGGGAAGACATATGCGTACACTTAAATATGCGCTTTAAATTTGCATTTTTTTTTGTGTTGTTTTTGCTTTCAAAACTTTTATGTTAATAAATAAGAATTGTAGGAATTTTATTAAAATAAGGCATGAAAAAATTATTAAATCACAATTTGCTGTGAAAAAAATATTACATTAATGTAAGTTGTTTGGTTATAACATAACTTAAAATATTGCGCTGGCGCACATAGTTAGAAATAATAATAAAAAATAAAAATAAACAATAATTGCATACTTTTTTGTGACAAACTATTTTTCACTTTGTTATAAAAAATGTTTATAAAATAAAAGTAAATTAAATAAACAATTTATATTTCCATATTCGTCTCCACAAATTTGTATATAAAATAAAGTATCAATTTGAACTTATAAGCTAAATTTAACATAAAGTAAAAGTCATTCGCTTGACGCTTGCTTCATGCTCATCACTCAGCTACTACTACATACGCAGCTGCTGCTGCTAAGTTCTTCACTCTCTGTTACTCATACGCCACCGCAGCCACAAAGCATTCGCACGCTGCTTGCCTTAACTAAAGCATGTTTGCTTGGTTGTCGTTAATATTGGTAGATCATAAAAGTGTATATATATTAAAAATTATTTTCATATCACTTAAGCGAAAAAACTATACGAAAGTAACTGCTTTTAAAACTAACTTTACGAGTTGCTTAGTTTTTGCTTCTTTTTTCTTAGAGACAAAAGTGTTGCTTAGCACATAGAATAATTAGTTAAAGTCATATACTACATACTTATGTGTGTATTATTGTTGTGTGAGAATGTGTGTTTTAAGTTTGTTAAAATTGTGGAAAATTTGATTTTCTGTTTAAATTATGGCTGTTGTTAAGAATAATCGAGTTGCGAAATTTGATCTTGTGCCGTTGACAGGTTTTGATCTGCGAAAACTTCATAAGAAAGCTTAACTTTTAGCTGCAGCATGCTTATACGTTGTTGAGAAGTCAGAGTTTTTTTATACAACAAGCTTTCAAAAACGAGAGCTTTTTTCGAGCTTTTTGTAGTTTAAAAGCTTAGCGATTAATATTTCACTAATTTCTCCGCAAACAAAAATAATTAATTTGTTCAAATTTAATGCAAATTATTTAAGATAAAACCTATAAAAAATACTTCGCAACTATCTCGAAGCTTAAAAGCTAGAAAAGTTTTTCATAACTTTGTTACCAAGTTCGACGAAATTCAATGCAGACTATTTGCAATAAAAACTTTAATGAAATTCTTCGCAGCTTTTTCGAAGCTTAAAAGCTTAAACATTTTCACAAAACTTTTTAGTTTCAAAAATTTATTTCACTTCTTTTATTTAGGTTTGAAAGCTTTAAGCGCCAAAAAAATTAGAATTATGTAAATCCTTCCGTAGTTGAATAAAAGCTGCCTTCACTTTGTTAAGCTTTTGAAGGAACTATATGTGGCACTTATAATGTTGAAACTAAAAGTATAGAAGGGTATAAAATCTGTATCACTTAAAATTCTTTGTTTACAGTTAATTCACTTGAAACTGCACTCAAATTATAAGCAGCTCGCTCACAAGGTTTTTTTTTTTGTAAATTTCTTAACCCTCAAGCGCGCATTGAGACCTGCACAGCACAAAATTCCATTAACACATATTTCGGTTTATTCTTTTGGTTAACTGTTTTATTCTACTATTGCATTGTGTTTGGGCTATTGCTTGATTTAATCAGTATTTGTTTTATGGTTTGCTAACTGTTTTTTAAAAACGTTTTTAAAACTTTCTCTAATACATAATCAATGTTCATAAAGTTTAGAGTCCTTTTCGAAAAGACTTTGTTGTTGTTATGCGTGCTAAAACTACATATTTATACATGTATGTATGTATGTATATAGGTATGTATGTATGGATGAGTGTTTTGCACACAAAACGACGCACTGCTTTTAAAAGCTTTCAACTCATAAGTAAACTTTATACATATGTGTGTGCTGACAGTGTGTAGAGTATATGTACGTGTAGTTGTAGGTGTGCATATGTGAAATAATATATATGTATATAAGTATAGTAACGATAGAGTTTAATGCTAAAATTAATAGCTAAATTTAAAATTTGCTTTGCTTTTTTTCCGCTTGCTGTTTTTGCGCACTTTCCTCACACTCATCGTTTAACTTAATTTTCGCTTACAAAATTAAGAGCGTAAGAAATTATATTGAAATTATAGTTAATATTTATATGTAAAGGTAGTAGATATATGTGTAGTTATAAGCAGGCCTATTTAGTAGAGAAAAAAATTCTTAACAAATTAATTATAAAATATTTTTTTTTTGCGTTTTTCTTGCAATTTTCTTTCACATTTCTTGCTGTTAAAAAAAAAGTTGAAATAAAAATAAAAATAAAAACAAATAATTACGGCGTAGTTTTAAGAACGTTGTGGATCTAATATGTAGTTATGTAACCTATCGTATGTAGTATCTAAGTATGTCTGTCCGAGCAGTTTTCGCTCACACTGTACGGGCGTACTTAAGTTGTATTGAAAATCGGGAGTATAAGTATAAAAAGGTGAATTGGTGAATTGCTAGTGCTAGTTGATACGCCTAATACGCACAAGCATTAAGTGCCTTTTCTATATTATAACGGTTTTGAAATTTTTTTAATACTAAACTACAACTCTTGCTGCACTCGTGCATTACTATTTAAACTTGTTATAATAAACACATGATTAAGAACAGTAAATTAATTGTATATGTAGTAGTGCTTTAAAACAGTAGCGCCCAACTAAATGTTGTTGTTTTAATTTTCAAACAATATACCTACGCTACAGGGGTATATATTGACTGTATGGCTGTGCGCGTAATGTAAAGCGTTGCTTGAACGAATAAACTGTAGCGAACGCTCAACAGCGCATACCGTTACAGCAACAGAAATTGCGTGTATATTTGAGTAGCTGATAGTTTGAGTGCTCTTTGCTGGTGTTTCAGTAGTTTAGTAGCTGTACCGTTATATTTAGTTTAATGTTATGCATTTCTCATTTACTTCATTTAATGCGCGCATTCATTGCTGTTTTGTTTTTTCGTACATCATTTTTTTTTGTTTTTAGTTTTTTTTTTTGTTGGCTTCTCAATTATACTCGTATTCTTCATATAATTAGGCTGCTGCTTGATGACATCATAGAGATCCGAATATTGAGTGTATATGGGGATGTATAGGAATAGCGTGTGACAGTGTGTGTGGCGGCGGTGGTGGTGGTGGCTGTGCGCCTAATGCGCCACCACCCACGCCGCTATGCGCTGGCGGCAGATGTGTGGGCGGGCCGCAAAGGCTAGCGCCACCACCCACATGCGATGCCTGATGCGCTTGCACGGGATGGTGTGCTACCGCGGCGGCCGCTGCTGCTGCTGCTGCGGCGGCGGCGCTCGGCAGTGGCGCCACCGGTGGCAATGTGATGGAGAGTGTAACTGTTTGTGGCGGTGAGAGGCCATGCTGCGCATGTTGGTGTTGCAGCTGCTGTTGCTGCTGCTGCTGTTGTTGTTGTTGATTTTGCTGTTGCTGCTGTTGTTGCGCCGCAGCGCTGTTGTTTGTTGCACTTTGTGCTGACGTCGGCACCACCACGCCGCCACCTTGCTGTGCGCCGACATTATTGGCTGCTGCTGCTGCCGCCACTGCCGCCGCTGCAGCTGCGGCTGCTGTCGCTGTGGTGGGATGTCACTGAGCCACCACCGATGTGGGCGTGTTTTGTTGCACCACCACACCTGGCGCTACCGAATTCGGTACCGTCACATTGACGGGCGGCTGTGAGGCGGCGCCACCGCTATGCGCCGCTGTGGGCTGTCCCTGCGTCTGAAACGTTTGCTGGAACGGTGGTCCATAACACTGCGGGAAGTACAATTCATTCTTGACCACCGATTGTTGCACAGCCGCATTCTGTACGGCCGCCATGGCGCGTGGCAAAATATTCGCTTTATTGTCGCCACCAGCCGCAGCCGGATTATTGTTGTTGAGGAATTGTTGTGCCGCATTCTTGGTCTCGTTCATCAGATGATTGGCAGCGGCTGCAGCCGCGGCGGCGGCAGCATGACTATTGGCATTCGGATTGTTGGCGTTGGCCGCATTCGGATTATTGGTGTTGCTTTGACGTGGCCGTTTTGTCGTGTTCGGATTCATGTGGTTGTCGATGTGTTTGGTCACCTCGTTCTCGGTGGCAAAGCGACGTCGGCAATTTGGCATTGGGCAGCAGAATGGACGATCACCCTGTGATTGGAAGAGCAAAGGAATTAATTAGGACTAGGAAGGAATGTATCTTTATATATATAGATATTTATATATATATATATATTTGTCATTTTCTGGGCGAAAAGGTCTAGTAAAATTTACGATATGAATAAATTTTTTTCTATAAAATAAATAATAACCAATAGCTTAGTTAAAGGTTTTATGTTGATTTAAATAAAGCTCAAATCAAAAGCTTCGAAGCACGGGAGATTTTTACTAAGCTACGAGAATCGTTTGGCTAATATTTCTGAGCTTCTTATTTTTTGTTCTAGACTTAAGTAATATTAGCATATTACAAATAGTTTTATGCATCCTCTGAGCTTGCTTAAAGCTACACTTTTATTTCTTCTGTCAAATCTACAAGTTTACAACTACCTGGTGCGTGCGTGTATGCTGATCCAGTATGGCCTTCTGACGGAAATCTTTACCGCATTGCGCGCATTTGTACGGCTTCTCGCCTGTGTGTATACGAATATGCTGCAAGGGAATATATAGCGCATTAAAAAATTAATAAAAAACGCAAATCGTTTTCAGTGACCCGCCAATCACTTACCTGATTCAGTATGGTGCGCTGTCGGAAGAAACGCGGACAATACAAGCAGCCGAACGGCTTTTCATTCGTGTGTATTCGTAAATGTTGCGTTAGGTGCGACTGCTGTCGGAAGCGTTTGCCGCACTCGGGGCACGGATATGGACGCGACTCGATGTGTATGCAACCATGTTGCAGCAGTGTCGTCTTCTGCTTGAACTCCTTGTCACAGATGGGACAGCGCACGTAGAGCGGCATGTTGGCTGGCCGCACGCCGATATGTTGCAGCACATCTGGCAAGATCTTTTGCCCTGCGCATGCGCACATATATTTTTGTTAGTAGCATGTGGCATATGAAAATAGAGAAAAAAACACCAAAAATCACATGAATCAACGTGCTTAAGTTGTATGTGTGTATGCAATTATATCGTTTTTAATTAAATAAATAATTATAAGTAATTAAAAAAAATTAAAAATAAAGCGTGGAAAGGTCCGCATGAGACCACGTGTGTTGAAAATGATTAATTTTTGTATTTATTTGCCTGAAAAGCGGTCGCATTTAGATCAATGGCTCGTTTAGTCTGACGGATAATACTTACTGAACATTTGGAGTTGTGGCAGTGGTGGTGAAATTTGTGGAATAAAATTATATGTAACTGTACTTTTGTAGCTTGATTACAATACAAGATGTTTTCTAAGAAAAAAATATTTTTATTTTGTTTATTTTTTTGGTTTTTTTTTTTGATTAGTTGCGTCACCACTAGTTGAAGATACACTGATTTTTTTTTATAATTTTTCGTAGAGGTAGAGAAAGGATTTTCAATTGTTTTTTTCAACTTTAAATAATATTTATAGTTAACAGTGTTTGATGTAACACAATTAACTTCGAAACTAATTGCTGAAGCGGTAATATTTATATTATATACATATATACCTATATATATATATAATATGAAACCTGATATATTAATATCGCATAATTTTATTGTCGCTTAATGCGACATATTTATATTACTCATTAATGCGCCTAAATGTAGGCTATAATTCACATTCGAAACAAAATTTAGCATACCTTTAGGATGATAGCGAAAATGCTTGTCTCTTTGATGCTCTACTGTACTAGAGGCGAAAGAAAATTAAAGTTTTTCACTAACGATAATAGAAATAATATTACTTTTAAAGCGTTTAATACAAATTCAAAATTTTTTCTTTTAATGTGACTCCTTTTGTGCAATGTGTTATAATGTTATAAAAGGCTGTTATTAAAATTTCTCATAACGCAAAAATGTTGTTAATATTTTCGAGTTATATAAAGTTCCACAAAATCATATAATCATAGATATACTTAACATAATAATAAAGCATTGTAAAAGAAAAGTAAAAAATGGCTCGGTATACGTACAGTTCTTATTACCTTTGTTGTCCTTAAAGTATGACGGATAATGTATACCGCCGCTGCCGTCTGGCGTACCCTGTGAATCCTCATCATGATAGCCACTACCACCGGCTATATCATTCTTCGTATCAGTCTCATCACCCGGATATGGTACATCCTGTGGCCACAGTGTCGGATGTGGGCCATTCTTGAAGATAAGATTCGGTGAGACATCTGTTTAACGGTACATGTAGTCGGCGTACGTGACATAACGTGTGTTTTTAAGACGTGCGTACACAGTTGAAACGAAACGAAAAAAGAAAACAAAATTGTTTGTTAGTACGTGACGAATTTGGGCTAAGTACCCCATTTAGTTAGTTGTAAATTGCTTCATAAATGACTCGTTAACATTTGCTAAGCTAAACTACAATATATAAAAATCGAAATAATAAAAAAAGTAAGAGTTAAACGAAAAAGCATAATTATTTATAAAAATTGGAGCAGGCGAAGTGCTTCAGCACTTTTTGGGCTTCCTTAGATTTGAGAAGGTTTTTGTTTAATGTGTGTTTTTGCTACTTTTGTTTAAGTGTTATCTAAATATGTGTGTTAAATAAACTTTGGTTTTTCTTATATAATAAAATATGCCGAAATGTATTTGCCAGATTTTTTTGCCTTTTCAAAATGGTGTGTTCTTTTATATGGTGTTTTGAGGCAAGCTTTCTGAAAACTATGCAGTAATATAAAGACATTCTAACGCGAAAAGGGTATGCTAAAATTCTAACCTCAAATTTGTATTGAAATTGTTAAAAAATCCTTAAAAACCAACAGATAAAGAGAGAACTAATATTAAATGATTAAAAAAATATAGCACAAACACTTTTAAACTGTTATCTTGATAAACAACGTTTAAAATATAAAAAATTTATATAAATTCTTTAAGAGAACTAAATAGTTTTAGACTTTACTTCTGTCTCATAGCTCGTTCTCTTATCTAAAAAAGATTGGCAATAAAAAAAGCTTAAATATTTCAAACTTAACTATTAAAAAAGCAAATGAAATTGTAAAAACTAAAATTTGAATATAAAACAAGTTCAGAATAAATAAAAATTTGCAAGAATAATACTTTACAACAGCCGTCTTTGGTAAAATTTTTAACTTTTATAAAACAACTACAAAACAAAAGATATTCAAAGTGAGCTTAAATCTTACTGTAGTCGTCTAATAGTGTACACAGTCTATCTCGAATATATATGCATTATACGCGCTATTCTTTTTTGTACTCAAATGTGCTTAAAAACTACACAGTTGCCTCTGTACCACCAGGCAATACTAAAAAAACCAACACCATTCTGAAAAGGCAGCCATATTCCTCTATCAAAAAAGTGCATAGAGGACGATTTTGCATCGTAAATTTTGAAATTTAGAATATTTGAATTTTGCAGGGGCATTAGCAGGATTCTTGTGTCTTCGACACAAATCGCTAAACTTGCACTCTCTAACTCTCTCGCTCTCTCTCTCTCGTTTAGCCGCAGCTTGCGTTGCAGCTCTACTATGCAAAATTGAAGCTTGTGCCTCGACTAGCTGACTAGCTGACTAGCTGTATGTATGTATATGTAACTACACATGAATATGAATAAAACTGTGTGTGTGTGTATCTGTATCACTGCCTCTGCCTAAATAATCAAATTCTGCAAATTTGCAATTTGTTCAATTGTTTCAATAACTGTCGCTCGCCTTGGTGGGTGCGCACATGTTGATTGAGGATGGCCTTCTGGCGAAAGTGCTTGCCGCACTCTGGGCATGCGTAGGGCTTCTCACCCGAATGGATGCGTATATGTTGGTTGAGTATCGCCCGCTGACGGAAGCTGCGCGAACAATAGCCGCATGTGAACGGTTTCTCGTTGGCATGTATGCGTAAATGTTGTGTCAGATGCGATTGTTGACGGAAACGTTTGCCGCACTCCGAACATGGATATGGACGCGCATCGGTATGTATGCGATCGTGCTGTAGTAGTGTGCTCTTCTGTTTGAAATCTTTGCCGCAGGTCAAACACTTGAACAAACGCAAATCGCTGTGCGGTTTTGGCGGTTTATTGGGATTTGGATGACGTCCGCGACCGCTGCCGGTGCCGGTACCTGTGCCAGTACCACCGCCACCTGTGCCAGTACCGGCGCCATTGCCGGCACCACCTGTAGCACCGACTGCACCTTCACCGCCACCGCTGCCATTTGCGCCGCCATTGTGTGCATTGCCACCATTACCGCCAGCACCGCCATTCTGCTGACCATTATTGCCTTGTTGATCACCACCGCCGCCAGCACCGCCCGGCAGCAGCTCGGGCATGGCATAACCCTCGAGACCGCCATTCTGTTCCATTGCGTTCGCCATGCCGGGCAATACGGGCTTGTTGAGATAGTGTAGTGCCGGAAAGCCGGGTGGCGGCAGCATTGCGCCTTGTGGCGTTGGATGACGTGGCGCATAGTAGCCGCCGAGTTCACCGCCCTGCGGCGTTTGGAAGTTATCGTTAGGTTGACCCGGTTGCGTGGGACCGCCATTCTGTACGTGCTGTTGTTGTGGATTCCCCGTGCCGCCATCGCGGCCCGAGCTCTGGTGTTGTTGCGGGTCATTGTTGCTTTGGTTTGGATTGGATTGCGCCGAGTTCTGCTGCTGGCTGGCCTGTAGGTTGGCGACCTGCAAGTAAATTTACCATATAAATTATTAATATCATAAATATTTAAAGCTTACGTTACAACTGCTAAGCAGCTGTTACCCACCTGATTCATGGTGACATCATCGTCGGGTGGCCCACCGCCGTTGACGCGCTGTTGTGGCGGATATGGACTTGTCGAGGGCGAGCCTTGCTGTCGCCCAACGCCATCGCCGCCATTCTCGCGCGGATCGCCTGTGGGACTTTGCGGCTGCTGGCCTTGTTGCTGTTGTTGCTGCTGCTGTTGTTGCGCCACCGCCGCGGCAGCTGCTTGCGCGGCACTCGCTATCTGTGCGGCTGGGTTTTGTCCATTCTGTTGTTGTTGCGCTTGCAAATGTTGCTGTGCCTGCTGTTGTATGCCCGGATACATTTCGCTGCCCCACTGCGCGGCCGAACCGCCAATCGCGGCCGGATTGCGTTCACCATCCTGTGAGTCCTTGTACAGCACATAGGGCTGCCCGGTGTCTTGCGTGATGCAATACATTATTTGTCGCGGTACCTTCAGTCCAGCGGCGATACAAGCCGCAAAAGATGCGGAGAAATTGATCGCCATGTCGCTGGAGGAAGGAGTGTGTGGGTGTGTGTGTATTGTGATTGTTGCTCCTCCCTACGTGGTGTAATGAATTCAAGCGTGGTTTTGTAAAGCTTTTGGGAGTTGCCTATTTGTGTGGAGAGTTTCACTCCTTTGGCGTTGATTTCGTTAATTTAACGGTATATTTTAGTGTTGCAATTACACTTTGTGTTGTTATTGCTCTTCAAGGCCCATTTTGACCGTTCTCATTCAATATACTTTAACTTCTCAACTTCTTTTTATTAACTGATTTTGTTGTTATTGTATATTTTGTTTTAAATAATGCTCTTCATTGGCTTGTGATTCACCGTTATTGCGCTCATTACTCTTTTGGTAGCACTACGTTCTTCAATACACCTGGTTGATGTGCTCAGTTATTACTGTTGTTGTTCTTGTGTTTGTTGTTTTCAAGCGGTTACTCATATTTTGTTGGGTTTTTACTTTTATTGCAAGATTCTCTTATGTAATTATCGCGCTTTATTGACTTTTTCCTCAAACGTTGTTTTTTTATATTAAAGCTTACGCTTTGCTGCAAAAGTTTTATTATTTTTTTCACCTCTGTGTTAAATGAGTTTTATATGTTTATTATTTTATTTCATTTGACTTTACACTCTAATTGTTATTTCTTTATGTTCTCGCTAAAAATCTTTACTCTTAGTCCAAAATTGTTGTTTTTGTGTCTAAAGTTAAAATCTTTCGCTTTTCATGAAATGTTTTTCAAAGATCGTTGTTGTTGTTTTGGAATTGAAAATCGCTTGCCAGTTTGTGGTTGTTTTCTGCTGGTACAAAACTGTGTCCCTCTAACGTGATTGAAAGAATTGTTTCTAAAAATATATAAAAGAGCATAAGGTATTAAGTTAGGTTAGAATAATAAATAATTGAAAGAAAATATCAAACAAATCAGACACTTATATTAAAGTAATTATTTTAGCAAAAAAAATTCCGTATTAAAAGCCTAACCTAAAAAATATTATCTTATTCTACTCGATAGGTATAGTTAGGTTATAGGAATTTAAAGCCTTAGATCTACTTGTGAATTTCTATTGTGAAATCTGTTTAACTTTTGCATATATATGTATTCATGAATACTCTTCGAAAATTTGTAGTCGATCCGCAAATAGTTTCGGAGATATGGGCGTATATGTAAGAATTTTTTAACTTGTGTAATGGGCTACCAAAATTTAAACACATTTTTCCCGAAACAATGTTCTAAGCGTCAATGAAAATAGTTACTCCAAAACAACTGTACTATTCCGCTTGAATACACGACCTTCTTAGATATATTTGTCAGTTAAAAATGGAACAAATAAGATTACGAAATTTTTAAGCCACTCTAAACTGCAAAGTTTTGCAAAAAAAAAACAACTTTTTTTGAGAAGCCGCCAATTCGTTTAAAAGCAAGATTTTGACTGGTCCTTCTAACATTACTTGTATTAATTTTTGGCAATAATAAACCGTATTGGTTTTTGAATTTCAGACGATTTTAAGCAAACAAATCTTGCTCAACGTCAGACAATATTTTTCGGAGGTCCTCCTGCAGATCACCTATGCTAGCAAGAATATCGAATATTTTTAAAAATTAATCAGCGATTATTTCAGTACATAAACTACTGTAAAAACGCATATTTTAAATATATTTATTAAATAAAATAGCTCTGGAAAAAATTTCGCAAAAAGCGCTATTTTCTGACTTGCAAGTGTATATAAGCCTTAAAATACCCCCTATGTTAGTGTAGAAATTTTAAAATGTCTAAAAAAAAATTTTTGACATATTTTGACAGTTTAGATATTCAAAAATCTCTCTCTAAAAATATGTCTTAAAACTCAAACTATTTTCAAAGTTATAGCCGTTAGAGTGTCGTAGCAACTTGGCCGTTTTAGTTTTAATTTAAAACTTTTAGCGCCTTTTTCTCGAAACTATCTATTTCAAAACGATACCCACGATTTCTCAAGTTCTAGTGGACCGATTTACCGGTACTACACAAATTTTAATTTATACTATTGTTAAAAAATTCGAAAAAGTTAAAAAAAGTGGTAAAAAATGTTTTTTGTTTTGAAGAAGTCGCCATTTCGTGAAAAAAAAATTTTCTAACTTTTCCTTAGTTCCAGACAGTGCGATATTATTAAAGATTTATATATTGTTTTGTTTTTTGGTTTCAGATTACTAGGAGCATTGAAATCCTGGTTATAGTCACAGGCCAATTTTTTGTAACCCCCTATTTTATCAGCTGCTAGTTTTTGAAATTTCGAACTTTTTTTGTTTTTTGATTTTTTTCTGTATTTTTGTAGTGTAATTATAATAACTAATAAAAAAATTGATAGTAAAAATATGAATTGCCTGTTTTTAAGACACTTCAAAAATTGTCTGAAAATCAGGCCTCTAGATTACAATATTCCCTTAATAGAGTAATAAACGGGGAGTATACTGTCTTTGCTGTCTATCGTTTCTATCTATGTTCCATAAACCATTTGAGAATTCCAAACACACTAATGCTGTTAACTGCACAGCACAATGCGCCTAAAACTGTACTTTACTTCTACTAGTTTTTTTCACGAAAAATTTTTCTCAGCATAATTTGGAGCGTTTTAAGCAGAATTAACTTAATTTCTTGCGTCGTTTTATAACTATGAATGAGACTTGGATCTACCACCATGATCATAAATTGAAACCAGAACGTTTACGTTGGAATGAAGCTGGTTGTTTAGCTGCAAAGCAGGTGAAGTTACAACGATCAGCAAAGATCAGTTATGGCTGTAGTTGGTTGGGATGCAAAAGGAGTTTTGTTGATTAATTATCTGCAGAATAGTTAAACAATCAACGCTGAATATTATTGGGGCCTTTTGGATTAGCTGGATGAAAAAATTCGTGAGAAACGATCTGGTTTGCAGCACAAAAAATCATTTTTCAACCAGACAATGCACTTGCTCAGAAAGGTGTTTTAACAATGACAAAATTCAGCGAATTAAAGTACGAACTGCTTGAGCATCCACCGTATTCACCAGCTTTGGCTCTAAGCGATTACTACCTCTGCAGAAACCTGAAACAATTTCTTCGTGGAAAGCGTTTCTCGTCAAATGAAGAAGCTACAAGTATGACAGCCGTAGATCGGTATTTTGCAGAGCCTCCGGAAAGTCATTTTAGCGATGGCATAAAATTATTGGAGTATCATTGGAATAAGTGTTATAAAGTTAAGGGAAATTATATTGAATAAAAAAAATATATTTCGTACTAACAGTACGGCACAGTATGTTTTCATTTCAACCGCAAAAACTTTTCAACCAGCCTGTATATCAACGTTTAAAATAAATCTCCTTTACGACTACTTTGTAGAACCAATCAAGCTCTTTCATTTTTTAATGTTTTTGAAGTTAAAAATATTTAAAATTAATATGCCTTACGAATTCTTTGTAGAACCAATCAAGCCCTTTCATTTTTTAATGTTTTTGCGTATAACTAATAAATATTCTATATTTTACATAGCACATTTTTCAAAGCCCCGCCTATAGAAATTAAAATCGAACAAATATTTGTATCAAAATGCATTTGTATTGGCCATAACTTTAGCACACAGTACATTCTCAGCAATTCTATTAAATTTGCCTTCATTTATTTGAACAGGATCTACATTGTATGGCATATATTTAATCTATCACTACAAGATAATCCTCTAAACCAGAAATTTATTGCACATTTAAGTCAAACCTGCAGCGCATTGAACAGTATTTATAGTTACTAAAAACCACTTTTTCGCCATACAACGGCACTTGTATGTACCCCTGTGCATATTTTAGTCAATTAATCATTACGAAACAACATAACTTTCCAAGCGATAAATCACGATTGCGCGCAACACTGCCACAAATGTAATCGCAGATTTTTGCATGCTATATATACGTATATAGAACGTGGTAGTCACGATATGTGTGTTGTATGGAAAATATTTTATATAAAATAAATTTCATGACAATAACAATGGAGCAGAAATGGTAAAACAGCATGTTTTAATTGATGCCGGTAGTTATGGCACACAATTGAGGTTAGGGTGAATAAAATAATTTTGTGTAGCTCGCGGAGGGCAGAAAGCAATGATGGGGAATATAAAAGTATGTAATTAAAAATACATACAACTATTATGATATATATTTTTATAATTTTTTTTTTTGAAATTAGCTAGCAAGACCGGTCTGCGCGATATATTCGAAGCTTATTTAAGATCATAATTCTTTATAATACCATAATCGTACTAACTTTAAAGATATTACTAAAATATGCATCCGTTATATGTTTAAGAGTTTACTGCAGTATTATACCGTAATATGTTAACTGCTAGTACGAAGTTCAAATTCCAAGAACTAGTGATAAAATTACAAAAAAGTATTCTCAAATTCAGATACTACAAGTAAGTATAAGTAAGTCGTAAAAGCTACAAGTCACAAGTATATTTAGAACTTATTTAAACATTTTTTTCAATTTAATTCCTCACTTAATACAATAGATCTTTAAATTGACGATAGACAGGATTAATGAATAAATATGCAAAATTCCATTTAACATTTCAAAATATATTTTCGGCGTTCAGCAAAGTCTTTTATGATCTCTTCTGCGGTTAACCTTACAACAAAACAGATACACGATTTATACGATATATTGTATCTAAGCGCATATTGGGCACATATGCGAATTTTCATGCGCACTTCACAAGCGTGTATGACATCACGCTCAATAACAAAACGAACAACCGAACGACCGTTCGGCGCCGCAGCGTGCCACAACCGCCTGAGACAATGCACATTGTGTTGAACAAAACCGCAAACGCTTTAAAGCACTGAGCTATAAAGCGATCTCAGTTGGGCTATATGCTAGGGAAATACGAGCTGGTTATGCGGCAATAAATTTACGATCGACAAAATGTGAAACCGCAGGCTGTGGCCGTAGATACTCGTATAGCAGTTGTGCTGATATTTTTGAATTTCGGCAGATCCTACAGACAAAAATAATGTAGTTGCTGTGGGTGTTGGTAGAAAAGTGTGACATTGAGGCTTACGAGCGCTGCACGAAGGAACAGTAAGCAGGATAAGACGGTGAAGATCGATGCGCTCTAACAGCGCAACCATACATCGTATGCATGCTTACGCTTAATCGCAACTAACATGAAACCCACACGCCTTTGGCAAACTTTTCAAGTGTCATTAGCAATTTTATACACCTCTTGTTCTACTGTGCAAGCGCTCGGCTGAACATATATGTAGGTACATTATAACTACATATATAAATATGTATAAATACTTCCACGCGAGCACGCCAAGACCTTGATCCCGCATTAATGGGAAACTTATTGGTAGCGCACATTGGCATTGGCCCAAAGAGGAACGTGCTTTGAGAAATGCAGGCAGGCAGCTAGTCTGGCAAGCGATATGCTGATAGTCTCAGACAGTCAGTCAACTGAAGTAAGCAGACAGTCTGCGAGTTAGCCTGCACAAACGCTCAAGCTGCCTTCGTCCATGCGGCTGAGGCGCGGCCACTCCCTAACTCAACGGCTACATTGTATAATTATACACACATAAATAGAAAAAAAAATATATATATATAAATATATATGTTACTATATACAAGTATATATATATATATATATATCATACACACACATATATGTATGTATTTATATATGCCGACAGGCAATGAGCTCGCTTACAATCAGTAGCTGCTGATCTTGACTTCTGACAAAGCAAAATACCCTGCGTGTTCTGTTGCATGTTACCTCCCCGCGCTACTATGCTTGGCCGCTCCTTTCTTGCTGGCTGCCTTGCGCTTTTGAGATACTGC